GTTGTAGGTTCAGGTGCTCCACTGTTGTCGGTATCAGGAATCAAGGAAGGTCTTGGAGACATCTTATTCACTGAAATGGAAGTAATTTGTATGTTTCGCCCGCCAGGAATAATATAAGGTACCTCTGTCTTGAGCTGTTAGAAGAGAAGATGATAATGTTTGTTTGAGTTTGCCGAATGTGCCTGTACTTTCCACATTATTCTGTTGCACTTCCTCCGGGGCAACCATCTGTAGAAAAAAAAATGAATTAATGAATAAGCCAATACATATTTAAAACAAACAGCATACGTTATACTTTTGTAAACAGGTCGATGACGATTTTTTGGATTAAAAAAATTGAAGTATTCGGTTTTGATACAGTTGTCATTCTTGCCTTCCCGCTAGTTATACCCTTCGAAGTGTTGGAATACCCTCCAAAGACGCGCCCCTTTGTCAGTGAATATTGGATTCCTTAGCAACAAAAATAAGCAATGACACTGATAATGACCATGCATCTGGTCTTAATCACTTCAAACTATGGAACAACGAATAGAATATTAGGAATCACATAGGTGAAGAGTGACTAACTCATTTTTCCTTGTTTCAAGATCATTTATTTATTTATTTATTTATTTATAAGTAGTCAAGACTAGGAATCGGTTTTAGATCTTAAATCTCGTAACGTACCACAGAAATGTGATCTACCCACGTTACGGGGATTATTCTGACATACATCATTGATCAAATTTAACATATTTTCATTCACAACATAATTATTATACATTTATGATCATTGTTTTCGTTATCATAAGAAAACCTGTGTAATTTATGGCAATGTGCACATGTACATATTTTTCTCTGTACAAGTCTCAATTTATATTCTCTCAGAGAACTTTGGCTACTAACTCTGCTGGAAAACCTATATTAGCACGTTATCTTTCCTTATTGTGCATTTGAATTTAACAAATTGCACCTCACCAGCCACACTTGAAGTAGTTATTTAACCCTACATAACAAAATTGTTCATGGAGTTTTAAACACATATTAAACTTAACTGTATAATTAATATCACAGGTGTTAATGTAATTACTTGAATGTGTGAAACTTACCTTTTTCATAAACGACATTACGTTTGTCGGCAACATTGTTGAAGCAATTTTAATCCGGTCCACTCAAGAAAATGGTTTATTCTCACAAATTCTTCTGAATACACTAAATTTTTCTAACTCTATTCACTTTCTTACTGTAAAGATTTTTGCTTGAAAATGCCATGAAAACATTATATTACTCCGGAGATCTTCTCCAAAAGAGATCTTATCTCATATTTCTCACTCCCACACGCTGTTATTTTCACGGAGTATTGCAATTGTTTTGATGTAGTGAAAAATATCGATTATTCGCAAATTGATGAATCCTGCAGAACTATTTCATAGTACATTTTTTCATGATAAATTATAGGCATAAATATTATCACATTAATTTAATTCACCAAATAAACTAACGTAACAGAATTTTCTTCACCATTCCGTTTGTGGCAAATAATGATATTTCAGATGTACATGACGTTATCTGCTACCTGTTGTATTCCGGCGCATAAATCGAATGTTGTAGGCCTTACCAGATAGATTGTCTATTCAAAACTACACTTTACGAAAGCATTATTAATTGTTACTACTTAATATGTCCAGTATAGAAAAACTTTCGCAAATGTTAGAGAAAAAACACTCAGTTTTACCCTATTACAAATTAGCACCAGAACTGCAAATAATTGATTTTCTTCATTCATCTCTTGATTTGAATACAAATGCCCTTTTCATAATGCAACAACCGATAAGCTCACAAAATTTCTGTAAAATGAAAGTAAAAGGGTCAATTTGCACTTATTGCCCCTCTGATTTCGTAGCTATTTGTATTAAAATACAACTTATAATTTTATTGAAAAAATATGGATTCCACACTTGTATTCGAATTTTCTCTGACCACTTTTTGTCTGCATACCTGTAGAGCTCATCTCAGACTGGGATACAATTTCCAGATTATTTATTCCGTCAACCCTGGGCCCAGTCTCTCCAGGACTTTTATTAACGTAAGAGATATCCTGTGCCATAAACATGCGCAATCGATACCAGAACACCAAAACAGAATCAACAAGCGGTGGTGCATAATGTAGGAACATGAAGTAAGCATGCAATTATTTTATGGTTTCTGTATAGGGTAATTGTTATCCGATGTAACACTTCAACAGCTACCGGGCAGTACGTTGCCGATAATAGATGGTTTTGCAAATCAACTACAGCTGGAGTTACAAGTTAAAGTGACGAGATAGAGACCTCTGGGAAATTTACGATATCCGAGAACAATCTCCATCAATCGAGTTGGTATCACTATAAGTACCTACCCGAGCAAAGTCGGATATCAAAATAATATCAAAATGATATTAAATCATTTTTTTGAAATCATATTGATCACATATTTTGACATACTATTTTTTAATTTCAGTTCAATTCAAATTTTGATATTTCTAAAAATATAATTAAACAAAATTTGATATTTTATGAAAAGAGCATGCACATTTATCACTGAAATCAACATTTTTTTTCTTACGGGTCAATCAGGATGCTTGCTGTTTTCTTTATAAACATCACAAAGACAATTATGATTTTTACAGTTATATTTTACAACATTTATTGATATTAATCTACCTGCGAATTTAATTTAGATATCGATAGAACTGATTAAAATATAGGCTTGTTTTTGTTTTGAATAAATGAAAACTTATTGAAAATATTTTTGATTTTGAATCTTGATATCAACGGCGCCGGTTATGGTAATGGTAAATGTGATTATCTCTCACCCCAGCAGGCCTGGGTTCAATCCCAGTCGGGGCCGGCGGGATGTTCTGAGGCATAACATCTCTGATCACGCCTTCCTTCGGAAGGGAAGTAAAACCGTTGGTCCCCGGTCTATGACTTGATGGGTCGATTGGTAGGGTCCAAGTGTGGGATCTACCTCCCTGGCGTCGGGAGCATTGGTGCTCAGCACGAAGAACCATTCAAGGAAGAAAAAAATCAACCAATAGATTTCAAAACATTCAGATTACTAAATTTGATATCATGATACCAAAATAATAACTAATTTACTTTTATTTATTTTTTCCTACCATAGTTATAATAACATATTGATTACTTATTTCGTTTATTATTCACGAAATTATTGATATCAAAACGCATACATAAATTTATTATCAAGAAAACATGATTTGTTATCTTTTTAATATACTTCATATACCATTTAGATCTCATTTTTGTTAGGATTACTATTAACTCGACCACACGGTAGGCAAAATATGTTATCACGAACGCTTGTATCAAACTATCAAATTTAGTTTTCATTTTGTTTTCATTCTCTGCCCGGGTACCCACCGCATCGAGCATCTGTCCCATCTGTCCAGCATGGAAGTGCGACTGGCATCCAGTGGTCAAATAAGAAAGGCTTTTCCCCGAAATTGGTATCAGATGGCATCCCAGGCATTGGTATCAGATGGCATGGTAGTAGACCATTGGTCAACGACCTACTGTATTCGAAATGTATAGATTGTTTGAATCGTATTTATAGCATAATGCACCAATTTTTCTACTTTGGCTTTATTACGTCCGAACTGTGTCTTTACACCGGCTCTCAACTTAGTGTTCTTTGAGCACTTCTACAGTTGTTAATTGAGAGCCAGTCTTCACGAAAACATGTACCATTTTGAGCTTGTGTACAAAAATCAAAGTGAATGTTCAGTATGAACATACGTGCAATGTTGTACACAGGTACATTTCATACAATTCACTCGGGTGTATCGATGTGCACAAGTGTATTCGCAGAAGTTTGTACACGGGTACGCACCTGGGTTTGAGCACGGAGCAAAATATAAAATTATAAAACAACAAAACAAAAAACGCTGCAGACCGAGGACTCGTACTCGTATTCAACTGTCAGTTGAATAATTTTGAAAATTAAACTTTTTCTATTTGATATTGATGCCAAACACTGTCGAATGCAAGCCGGCGCCGGTGGTGTAGTGGTAAGCGTGACTGCTTTCTCACCCCAATGGGTCTGGGTTCAATCCCAGCCGAGGTCGGTGGGATTTTTCTGAGGCATAAAAATCTCTGGTCACGTCTTCCTTCGGAAGGGAAGTAAAGCCGTTGGTCCCGGCCCATGTGTGTTGATGAATGGGTGCGGTATCCTACGCAGGTGTGGAAGCTGCCTTCCTGCACATTCGATTGCCGTCAATGGATGGCAATCGATGTCCGTCGGTGATTGGCACTAGATTGCGGAACAGAGACCGACGTTAAATAAAGGAAAGAAGACTGTCGAATGCTTTTTCTATGTCTACAAGGGTAACTCCAGTTGAGCAGGGTCCAGATTTGTTTGAACGAATTAAATTTAGAGCTCTTCCCGAGCAGGAGAAAATAACTAATGAATACCTAATTCTGATCTGATACCAAAATTTGGTATTGACCAGCATGACATAAGAGGTAAAATACCAAAGAATACAACCAAAAATTACATGCACAATACTTTGCAAATACCAAACATTGATATTTGGATACTAAAAGAATATCTGGGTGGTATTTTTTTGGTATTGCATTATCATAATTTGGTATTGGAGTGGTATTTTGGGAACATTTTTTTGGTATTATTTTTTGGTATTTTACCTCTTATGTCAGGCTCATCCATACCAATTTGAGGTATCGAGATATTCGTTCCTGCTCGGGTTAAGGTGATACTCTAAGGAAGCCTTAACGTGAAACTTTAAAGGCACAAATGTCAGCTTCCACAAAACATACAAAATTGAAATTGCTACTCCTTGTTTGCTGTGCTACTACAACCAGAGGGTAGCAATTTCAAATTTGTATGTTTTGTGGAAGCTGACATTTCTGCCTTTGAAGTTTCAAGCTAAGGCTTCCTTAGAGTATCACCTTAAGAGTTGATGAGTAGATGAATGCCCACACGGAGAAAAAATACTACCCAAAATTTGAGTTCTTTTACTTAATATTGAGTTCAGCCTCTCACTTACACTCTTTATTGTTGTAAAAAAACGAGAGATTCGACCCAACGATATAGTTCAGCCCAATAAGTTACTTTTGAGTAAATTGCATATTCTCAAATTTAGGTGAATTAAACTTAATTTTGGGTAGAATATACTTAAGAGTAGGTTATTTTAAATGGAAACTACTATATGCGATTTACTCAAATTTGGGTTATTGGGCTGAACCTCGGAATTGAGTGAAAAGTACTTAATTTTGGGTAGTTTTTCATCTCCGTGCATGGCGAAATATAAACTGCTTATCTGCAAAAAAAAATGAGTTCTTATTGATGTGAAGAAGCATCATTCTATTCCAAATTATCTTTTCAAAGAGTTTACTTATTGATAAAAGCAAACTTTTTGGATGGTAGCTAGAAACTTCAGCAGGATTTTTGTCCAGCTTAGAAATTGGAACAACATTAGCATTTTTACATTTATCAGGAAAGTATGCCAAATGGAAACATCTGTTAAATAATCTAAAAAATCTAGTAAAATTTAGTAATCTGAAGGTTTTGAAATCTATTGGTTGATATTAAGATTTAAAATCAAAAAAATGTTATCAATAAAGTGCTAATGGTGCCATATTAAAGTACAGAACCGGAAATAATCATCCAGTGGTACAAACTACAAAAAAGTATATAATGAATCGCTTTTGGCATTATAGACAAATAACAGACTCACCTCTAATTAAAAACTGGCATTCGCGAATTTGGTACCCGAAGAAAACCCAAAAGTTAAAATATGATGAACGATTGAAGTTTATTAAATCCAATAGCATAGAAATAGACGATATGATTTTTTTAAATTTAGAGTTTGGTTTTCATGGCAAATTTTAGTGGAATTATATTCAATATAGGAAACACGAATCATGTAAAAAATTAGGCTACGATGACTCTTATATTATTATTAATGAACAATTCCTTCGCATCGAACATATTTTAACAGACATGAATTATGAAATTTATTTTGGGAGTTGGGAGAGAACTGATATTTAATGAGATTTATGAAAACATATATATATATGAGCTAAGAAATTGACTAAGCCTACGAAACTTAATATCAATATTCGACAATATATTAGTATAAGTATTAAAGACGAACAGGACGAAATCAATTTTATATCGAATTGTAGATTCAATTCGCAGGTAGATTAATATCAATAAATGTTGCAAAATATAACTGTAAAAATCATAATTATCTTTGTGATGTTTATGAAGAAAACAACAAGCATCCTGATTGACTCGTAAGAAAACAAAAAAAAAATAGATTTCAGTGATTTTTGAAAAATATCAAATGTTGTTTTAATTATATTTTTTAGAAATATCAAAAAATAGCATATCAAAATTTGTTATGGACATTATTTCAAAAACATAATTAGTTATAATTTTGTTAATATTTTGATATCCGACTTTGCTCGGGAAGATAAGTAAAGGAGTGTACGTTTGATTAGTATAGTCACATTAATGGCTTCGCTCAATTTCAACTTCTGTTCAATTTTCACACTGCCGTACTCTACACTGATAAATTGAACTATTCCCATTTTGCTTGAAATTTAATCAATTTGACATTAAACTCAGTTTAATCATACCGAATGATTAAAAATTAATCCTCTCTTTTTAAAATATAAGCATCTGATATTAATCCCAGTTTACTCATGGTTGATTAGATTGTAGATTATTTTTTGAATAAATTTTAATAATTTTTGATTGAATTTTAATCTTTTTTGATTATATATCAGTATTGAAAAAGACTAAAATTTAATACTGGAAAGATTATTTCGATTTTAATCATGCATGACTACTGCCGAAGTAATCATGGCTCGGACTCAATAAGGTGAAGCGGGAATCTGCATACTTTTTAAACTTGCTTGATTTAATTTATCTTTGAGTGTAGCGGAACTATCAATATATCCTCTTCAGAATTTT